GCCAGGGCTGAGTGTGGAGAGGGATCACTTTTCAAAACAACTCCCCCCTCTCTCAGCCTCCACACACAGCTTCCAGTGATGAGCTCATTGCAAACTCTCCCAGCTGGGACAGGGGCTATTGTGATGTCAGCAAAGAGGCACACTCTCGGCCAATCAGGAGACAGGAAACACAATCCACTCTTCTCAATGTGGCTGTTTCAGGACAGCTCCAGAGGAGGAGAGAAACAAGAGTAGCCTGTAGTTTCCCTCTTTCATGTTAAGCTGATCCCATGAATGTTAGAGAGAGAGAGAGAGAATTTAGAATCACACTCGTTTTGTTTTAAGGCTTTCAAAAGCCCTCCTTTGGATTGGTTTTTTGTTCTCATATAAGAACCCCTTTTGCACTGACTGTTCTATCAGAGACTTGAGCTTGTGCATTCAAATGAAGACACCTTTCAGGGTGAGCACTCCTAGCTAGATGAGAGGTATTCTAGGCCATCTAGATTCTCTGATGCTGCTCAGTCCAGGCCTCTCCAGACAGACTCCCACACTGACACTGACAGATACTGCTGCAGACTCCAAACAAGCTCACACACCTAATCCAGGCATGTGCTGATGCGACGACAGGAACGAGCCTGTATCCCTCCTGGCAAACACACACACTGCCCAGTGCGCACAGGGCTTCAGAGCGCAGCCTGAACTGTAAAGCCTGCAATTGTCAGTGTTTCCACGGGGATTAACTGTGTGGAAAAATCAGAATAGCAGCAGCCAAGATTGCTTAAACTGCCAGTGACAGGATGTCTGCCGGAATTAGATGAACTGCCTGCTGAAAATTTGCAAAGAGCACACTATTTGAATAATATAATAATGCCACTGAAACAGAAACTCCATGTCCTAACACGCTCAAAGCTACAAAGGAAGAAGAATTCTATACAAATATCAGATTCTGGCTCATGCACATGTCTGGCATTGCGTTCTTCTGCCCAGCAGCTGAGGAACATGATTCTGCTCTTCAGAACGAATCTCTAAGTCAGTAAACACTGTCTTTACCATAGTTACTGTACCACAGCAGTCACACAGCGGAGAACGAGCCATATAAAGTTCACCTCCGACAGATGTTTTCCCCTGTTTTTTAGGAGTTCATTAGAAATAGCAATGAACGGTCTAAATGAACATTGTTAGAAAAAACAACAGTTCAGTACTATACTGTATACTGCTAATATACTGCCGTTTTGGCTTAAGAAAGAGATGAAGCCCACCTAGCCTGGTGGGTAGTTAGAAGTTTATTGATCCAGTGATCTGTTGAAAGATGTCAGGGTATTTAACAACATGGCCAGGCTGTTCCAGACTCCCAGAATCCTTTGGGTAAAGAAGTGCCTCCTACTCTTATCGGGAAATACCCAGAGATCTTTAAGGACCATTGAGAGTCAGGACCTTAGTTTAACATCTCATCCAAAAGACAGCACCCACTACAGTATAGTGTCCCCACCACTATACTGGGACATTAGGAACCATACAGACCACAGGATGGGTGCCCCCCGCTGGGCCCACTAACCATAGCTTCCCAGGAGGTCTCCCATCCAGGCACTGACCAGGCTCAACCCTGCTGAGCTTCAGTGGGCTGCCAGTTGAGAACCACAGGGTCTTTGTCAATGTGATTGAGCATGTTGCTTACTTGCAAGGTTCCTCTTCTACTGAGTCTGTCTTAAACTAAAAAGGTTCAGTTCCTTCAGTCTGTCAGTACAGGATATCCTTGTAATACCTGAAATGTATCTGACTGCTCTTCTGTGGACTGATTCAATATCAGTCCAATACCTTTCCCACAATGTAGTAACCAAAACTGTACACAGTGTTCTAAATGAGTCCTAACTAGAGCATAATACGACTATATCAATACATCCCTTATATTCAATTCTTCGCTTTTAACTACATATACAAACCCTTTGATCACCTTTTTTACTGTAAACAAAATGATTTAATTCTTCATCTAAAACTCTAGATGTCATCTGTCCTGCTGAAGACAAGCTGATATGTATCAGTAGAACTGGGTGGTGCAGACTCTCTGTGGCTCAGGATCTGTGTCTGTGGCTAGAAGATTGCCAGTTCAAATCCCATGGCTGGCAGAGAAATCCTACTCTGTTAGGCCCCTGAGCAAGGCCCTTAACCCCAGCTGCTCCAGGGGTGCTGTATAAATGGCTGACCCTGCGCTCTGACCCCCAGCTTCTCTCCCTGTCTGTGTGTCTCATGGAGAGAAAGCTGGGGTATGCGAAAAGACAAATTCCTAATACAAGAAATTGTATATGGCCAAAAAAGTGATCTTATCTTATCTAACTCCCTCTGAGATTTTTTTAGCGAGTTGAAAACTCTAACCCTACCGCCTGCAGATGTCTGGATAAGAGGAAATGCTTCATGGAGGAGAAAAACAGAAAGATGATGTGTTATTACATTCTGTCAATTCCATTGTCATGTATTATTTTTCATTTTTAAAGGTGGGTTTGTGCCTTTCCTGCTGTATGTATTGTACATGATCACATTGCACAGGTCTGAAGCTTCATGTTTATGCAACGCCAATAAAACATACTGAGTTTGTGTTAGGATCTCCACTCTGACCCCCTCGGTCCCGAGACTTTCCTCAGCTCTGGATGCCTGCCCGGGCTCCATCTTACATCTGTGGACTCCTCCATGTTTCTACTCCCTCTGTTTAGGCTCCGCTCAGGTGAGGCTGGGCCTTTGATCACCGTACCTGGGAATGAATCCCGGACTTTTGGTGACCATATTTTTCCTGTCGCTGCTCCAGTGTTATGGAACGCCCCTCCTCCAACTCTCCTCGAATCTAAACTCAAAACTCATCTCTTTGCTAGGGCCTATGCCTGACTGACCTACGTTTTGTCTGTATGAATCGGTATGCTCTTGCTTATTTTTTTCTTTTACTCATTATTGTACTTTAATTGTCATTTTCTTTATCACTATGTACAGCGTCCTTGGGCTTGGAAAAGTGCATTATAAATGATAATAATAATAATAATAATAATAATAATAATTATTATTATTATTATTATTATTATTATTATTATTATTATTATTATTATTAACAGAGAAAAACTAGGAGCCCAGGCAACATTATGTTCAGCAAACAGGAACAGCATTAAAATAAACTCACATGAACTTGCCCACAGGGGTCAGACAGCCATATTCCCAAAACCTGTCACCTCAGAGGAGCACAGCACTAGGTCTGAAAGCCACCAGACACTTACAGCTGCTACGCAAGAAGCCATGTAGGCAAGCTAAGTGTTCCTCTCAGATTCTGCAACAGTGCCCCTGGTTCTTCCTCTTTCAGAGCAGTGTGGGGACCACACCATGTGCCCGAGTGACTCACGCATGCCTTGTGCGGCGCCTTTTGCCCCAGTTTCTTATCGGACCCCCCCCGGGTCTCTCCGACAGCTGGGCTCAGCTGCGGCTGCCGCTGCAGTTCTGGAGCAAACGGGCCGAGAGTCGGCGTGCGCTCAGGTGGACAGAGGCGGCCCGCAGCAGGGTCAGAGGGGGCAGCCCTGCTCCTGCGGGTTTCACAGCTCTTAAAGCCTCCTGCTGAGGGGAACCGGGCCGGTCCGGCGAAGATCATAATCAGCTCAAACGGGCGGATTGCTGCAGAGGTCCCTGGGTGACCACACACCTGCTGGACCAGTTCCACAATTCAACCCTCAACGGATTTCAGATTAAGCATGAGTTAGGATGAAATAATAGGGTTGATCTGACCTGCTACCCGTTTTCAGCTTTAAAACATGCAGGCCGCCCCCTTCCAACACGCTGCATTTCATCAGCAGCGTACACACAGGGCACGCCTGAGCCGAAAGAACACCGGGCACAAGCTGCCAGTCAGGCGAGCTACTTGCTCGGACCCCTGGTGTACAGCACAGGAGGAATGACAGCGCAGTCAAGCTCTGGGGCCGTGGTGCCCCACCCCACCGCACAAACACACCCCTTTCGCTAACAGCCCCTCTTCCGAACCCTCTCGGGGGAGCAAGGCTGTCCCTCCCTCACTGCCGGACTTTCTCAGGCTCGGGAAATGTTACTGTATCGTCTTCTCTTCTGGAACAGTTCGTCTCACTCCGATCACGAAGAAATCAACGGCTCCATTAATTAAGGCCAATTAAGTTATCCACGGATTCTGTTACGTCCTGTAATCGAGAGCTCGGGCAGAATGTAAATGCAACACCCGGCGCTGGAGCAGGAGTGAGGATTACCGATCTATATATCCTGCAGTGTCTCTAAACCACTTTCACAGGGAGACGACACAGCGGCCGATTAAAACTACATGTAACAAAATATCAGCATTACATAGCTGTCGTTTTTTTTAGATGATGAGCATTTTGTTACAAACTTTAATACGGAATTACTACTTCTTTCTGTATCATTATTATAATTGCTAAATTGCGTTAGGTGCATGTGTGAAATGTATGTTTCTGCAATAGCGTGTGCGTGTTTACAGGTGTGCAACCGTGGGTGCCATCAGGGCTGTGTGTAGTGGGAGGGTGGTGGGGAAAATGTCACGAATAGGCCACAGGTCTGAGTAGCAGGGCACAAACACAAAATACCCGACATGTCCGACTCCCCTGCTGTTAACAACAGCCCCTTCCGTCCGTTCCTTGTGCACCATGTTGTCTGAAACCCGACCTGCTCTCGGGGAAGCGGTAAGGGGGTCGCTGACCTTTCCGTATTTCATCACGGGCTTACTGACACGGACACGCGTCAGGCTGTTACAACAGCAGCCCTGCTGCGCTGAACGCGCAATTCACTCTGCTGGGGCTGATCCCATCCCGGAGACACGGTCCCAAGATCCCATAGATCCCCCAAGAGCACACTTTGTTTTGCACACATCGCGGACAAACGAAGCTTTTTCGTTGCTTCACGAATGAAGGAACAAGACACCATGACAGCGAAGTTCACAAAATGATATACTGGGGGGGGAAAAAGCGTTTCAGCCCTGGCCAGCCCCCCCCGCATACCAGTCTAAGCTGACTTACCAGTTGGTTGACGACCGGGGGTTCAAGATGTCTTCTTTAGCCGTGAGCAGTGACAGGCTGTAGGTGTCGAGGTTAATCGACTTCATGGCTGACGGCTGATCGTTTTCACGAATTCCAGTCTTATTCCACCCCTGTTGCCGTCCTGTAGTATCCGCTGAAAATCGCAAAGAATCACACACAAAAAAAAAACGCCAAAAGCACAGACAGGCACTCACACACACAACGCACCAGTCGGCGTTAAAGGTCTCCTTTCTGAAACGAAAACCCGATTGTGTTCTTCGTTCTACCTGGCAGTCAGGACTGTGCGGATCCGCACTGCGAGCGAGCGGCAGGCGATCAGGAGAGAGAAGTCTGTTGCAAACTGCAGGGGAAAAAGTCCTGCAAGAGAACAGAACTTGCAGCCAAAAAGCCCCACCTCCTGCACGAAGCAGAAAAGGCAGTTAAACAAATTCAGCTGGACTTCACCCTAGCACTTTTCACATCGCAGATCACGGCTCCGAACCGGAAAAACCGAGGGGCTCAGACCCTCTTGATCAGCCAGTGCGTGGAAGGAACCGCAGACGAACCGAGACGTTTCCAGACCCAATCCCAGTAAATACCGCGCTGTCGCCGGCCAAGGAGCTGCGATATTTGCCGCTGCTTAAACTGTGGAAAAGCAAACCGAGCCCGACTCTCTTTCCTTTTGTTACAAGGGCTGAACGAACTGCCCCCTCACATCACAATAGTGGGAAACATTTACTCTCCCTCCCTTCTCGCTCTCTGGAGTATCATTTGCTTTACCGTAATAGAGGGTTTTAGCGTCTTAAAATATTATTCTGATCGCAAGCGGCCGTTAGCAGGGTGAGGTCATTCTTGACAAAAACACTATTGGCAGCACGACATGCACATTTAGAAAAAAAAAATGAATCTGTGACATCAGTGAATAAGCACGTCAGAAACACCCGCTTTAACAGACCTACGCCTGAACGGTGTATCCAGTTTATTTCGGTGTTTTTCTCTTTATGGCTGTGATTCCAGTGGGAGACGTACTGTACAGTAATGCATTAAGACCCGTGAATGACATGACAATGACAACTGCTCTCACAACCTCTTCGGTTCGTCCTCAACCTGGCTGTGGAGCTTTCTCGCCGGCCCTGGAGATGTGAGTGTTTAACCTAGCAACGGAAAATCGGAATTCGCGTGGCGTGGTGGGTGAAGAACAGCGTTTCTATAGCCTGTCTTCGACGCGATTCCCCCCTCCGTCAAGGCCTCCCGTTTGAATAAAGCAGGGCTTTTATGAACAGAGAGGGCTGAGGAAGACTGCGCCAGTGTTCGGTGACACAGGCGCCCCACTGCCGCTGAGGCCAGCGTGCGGCCATTCAGGACGAGGGCACCCCTCACCTCACAGCCCTTTCAGCCGGGCGACAGTGCTGTCAGTCTTCGCTGTCGCCCCACTTTCAGAGGGGCAGTACGCTTGGCAGTAGCTGGAGGGCCATTTACAGAGAGGGAAGCACACTGGGGCCTGTTTACACAGCCACAAAAGCAGGCCCGGTTCTGTGGGAACTGTTTTATAAATAGGCAGTAGCCTATATTCCTCCTCAGAATGTTTTCCCAGAAAACTCGCCCCTATTATTGGGCTGTTTCGGCCCACTTGGGAGAGACCCCAGCAGAGGGAGTGTCAGTGAATCGCTGCTTTTCCATCAGGCAATGCGTTGAGCGCAGACATGTTTTTGGACAGCTTTTTTTTTTTCTCGGCATGAAAACGTTTTTTCTTGTGTGTGTTTTTTTTTCTTTCACCAACTCAAAAATGCCTCTCCTCTGCCTGCTATCCCACGCTGCCTTCTTCTTTCCCAGAAGGCTCTGCAGCCCTGCCCTCCCACAGGCTGCTGGCACAGAGGGCAGGGAGCCTGGCCTGGCTGGCAGTGCGTGGGGCTCCCTCCGACAGCCAGAGGAAGCGCATTCCTGCGCAGGGAACTCCGGAATCCTGCGGCCTGATTTCCGCGAGATCAAGACGGATGAACTCCCGGGAGAGGAAGCCGGCGCTGGCTCGGATCTGTCCGTAAAAGGCAAAGATCTCGGAGGTCTCCAGAGACTCCCCCGCGGCCCCTGGGCTGAGGAGTTAATGAGGGCCTGAGGTTTTCAGACAGCGAGTCTCCACGTGCAGCGCAGAGAGCACTAAGGGAAGTGCTGGCAGCTGCCATTTCTCTGCCAAAGCTCCAGCTTCCTGTCATTAACATTGTTTTTCCACCGCTGGGATCTCTCGGCAGCTCTGCCGCTCTCCGCGCGGGAGTATTTCCCCTGTTTCCAGCAGAGGAGCAGGGATGAACGCTGTTCTGGCGATTTCTGTTTTCTTTCAAGAGCGCCACAGCCTGTCACGCGCTGCAAGGCTGTATGGGATTTTATCTGAGTGAACCAGGACAGGCCCCCCTCGTAACCCTGCGGTCACTGAAGCGCCCCCCACAGAAACTGGGCTGAAAAAAGCCACCCATACACCCCCCACACACACACACAAAAGAAAACTAGCTTCTGGTAGGTATACACCTTGGCAAACGTGTTTCAAGTAGTACTGCTTTCCACCAATCAATGCCGACTCTCCTGTCAGGCACTGTGGGGCTGGTCGCTTGTCAAAACGGCTTCATGCTCCCTGTGAACAGGAGTCACCTTGCACTGTGAGCTGAGACAGAAACAGGTTCGGCTGCAGATTGAACATGGACCCTGGGAGGGAGCCTTTCAGATTGACCTGGCGGGCATGGGGGCCACCAGATGGGAAGTTCATTTCACAGTGTACTCTGACCCCACTGGCCTTGTCCCCTGGGGTCCTGTTGTTGTGCTGACCCTTAAGATGCCAGGGTAAAAATCAAACTGAAATGAAAGCAGGCAGGCTGGCCAGGGTCACGGGCACTAAAGGAAGTGAGTGCAGTAAGAGATTATGTTTATAGGGAACGTGTTTACTGCACATTCTTTGTAAATGTTGAAATATTACGAACATAAAAAAAAAGTTTAGAAAAGAGAGGAGACTGTTCTGTCCCTCTGGCCCATGGAGTAGTTTGTCGCGAGCTGATCCAAGGATCTCAACCAGCTGTTTCTTGAAAGAGGCTTCTGCAGCACGGCTGGGCAGCATGTCCCATTTTCCACAGTCCTTTAAAATGTGTGCTGGACTGAGAAAACTTAGAAGTAAATTAAGAAGAAAGGCCACACTGTCTTGTTTTGCTGCAAAGACTGAGGTCATCATATATTTAGTATTTTTCTAAAGGTTATTTTCCACTACAACATACACAGTTGTTACCCAGGAAGCCCAGGAGAGATAGTAATGAGTACAAGTTGGCACTTGAAGGCACCTGGGGCACAGGTGACTGATGTGTAGATACTGCTGTGCTTTGACTTGCTGGGTCTGCGAAAATGTGATGCAGTATTATTGTCACTACGTGCTCTATCACGTTAATCTGTTTAATCATCTTAATTTTGAATATGCTTTTCTTATCCAGAAACTATGTAGGAGCTAATTTCAAATTATGATTCTATTAATAAGCGTGCAATACTGCTGGAAAATAATGGGCCCACAACAGAGCTGCATTAATAGCGTATTCAAATAATGCCTGCCCAATGTCTGAAGGTCTTGGATAACTCCTAAAATCAAATGGCACCCCACCACTGCTGCAGTGAGGGAAATTAGATTCGCTGAAAGGTATTTCTAAACAGAGGTTCAGACAAATTGCCAGTGTAGTCTCAACATTAACAGGCTGCCAGTTGCCGTGTGGGTATTTCCTCCTGGGCTTCATCTTGTTTGTGTCTGGTTCTGTGCCTGAGCGCTTTTCAGATTAATCTTCATGCTGAGCGCTGGCCGTGGTCGCTCTCTGCCCCGGGGCACGCTTTGCGAAGGCTTGTTATCTTGTCCTCTGTCGGACAGTTAAATGGCCGATCCTTTAACGAGCTCCGCCCAGATCCATTCAGAACAGGATGGGCTGTGCAAACAAATCAGAGTTGATTCAGAGACCTGCCGAGGGAGGGAGCGCTGAGGAAGCACTCTCTCTATTGACGCAGCAGAACTCCAGCACTGCGGTTACCGCGGTGAAGAGTTCTGCAGCCAGGGAGCTGAGCTGGGCTTCTCAAGCTGCTCCTTCACAACTGAGCTGCCATCAGTCAAACCATCTTGACCCGGTCAGAGGTCAGAGGGCACAGAGGGTCACTGCGTGGGGCCTCATTCCTTGTTGCTCACACCCCCTCTGGGACGGGCAGTTTGCTGACAAACACTAGTCAGCGAAGGAGCAAAAAACACAATTAGAGAGGCGAAGAACAAGTTTGTGTTTTTCAGAACATAAGACAGGTTACAAAGAATGGGAGGCCATTCAACCCATTTATGCTGGTTTAGTAGTAAGTAGTTAATTGATCCCAGTGTCTCATCCTGGGAGTCCCCATTACCTGTAAAGCGCTTTGAGGGGAGTGTCCAGAAAAGCGCTATATAAGTGTAAGTAATAATTATTTTTATTGATTATTACCCAGCTGTTTCTTGAAAGAACCCAGGGTATTGACTTCAGCAGCATGGCTGGGAGGTTTGTTCCAGACCCTCACGGCCTTCTGGGTAAAGAACTGCCTCCTGCTCTTAGCTTCCACTTGAGCCGTCTGGTTCGTGCTTCACCGTTCCTTCCACAGTCGCACGGAATTCCAAATTCATTGTGTGTTTTTCCAGGGAAGAGGCAGACACTCCCTGGGGAAATGTTCAGGAAGCTCCAGCACAAACGACTGTTAACACCGGGGAACGCAAGAGGGGAAACTTCAAAAGACAAAAGCTGGTTTTGTCTACATTTGTCACTAAGTGCCCGGCGTGAACCTTCAGTCTTGACAGGGGGGATCCTGGCCTGTTGCTGGCACTGCCCCACCTGCTCTTTGTACCTGGCTCATGTCCTGCTAGGAGGAAAACAAATGCAGAAAACCTGACACGAGAAATAACTTTTTTTTTGTATTGCAGAAATAGGTGGCCTTAGGTCAGTAAGCAGATTGATAGCAAAAGAAGGTTTTATAAGGTCAAAAGGGAAAAAAAATAATTGCAATCTAAGTATCATACAGAATGTCACACAATGCAAACAAGAGCGTGTAATGTAGTCAGGGAATGGAAGAAGGGACATCATGCCTCTATGTTCAATATTATTACATGAACGTCCCCAGATGCAGAAGAATTGTTCAAGTGCTAAAGGTATAAATATCGACCGTCTGCATGGGTGTCTGTGTTACAGTTACTGAAGCGGTGAGCCCGTCTCTGAAATCTAGACAGGGCAGGACTCTTCCACGGGGCACAGTGGAGCTGTTCACTGTGCTCAGAGCTCACGAGCGATCGGGGCAGGGGCAGAAGAGAGCTGTGTCCATCATGGTCCTGCACGACCCACCGGGCGAAACAGCCCAACACAGCCGGCAGAGCGCGCCCCTGGTCTGGTGACATACTGGCCTGCAGACAGCCTCTTCCTGAGGGCCTCGTGTTGATAACGGAGCCGAAGGCGGTGTTTGGGTTTCTGAAGAAGCTGAAACTGGGAACCAGGATCTGGCTGGCTTCCCAAGTAAGATGCACTGCTCTCTTGTTTGCCCTGCTCATTTACAATATATACAAATATACGAATGACCCCCCCTTCCTTTGTTCATTTAAAAGCGCTGGATCTGTCCATCCATCATTGCCCCGAGAGGCTCCAGGATGCAGGGAAACACAGGATGTTTTAAAAGGGGA